ACTTTCTGCCCAGTTTGACCCATTTAGCAGAAGTCAGTCTGTTTAAGGCTCTGATATCTATTCTGTATGACTTAAAGCAGTTATGACATGGTCTGATTTTCTCACCCAATAAAGGAATATTTAATATATCAGTCTATTCTTTACAAACAGTTAGAAACAGTTATCACAGCTCATACATTTTCTTCTTACACACATATATAAGCATTGAGCCAAATTTAGTAATGCCAACATATTAAAATAACAATATTTGTCTCTTATATATAATACATCTATATATACACTGTCAAAGATACTTGTCTTTAAGTGAAGATTTAAGGCGATAGGAAATTTGAATAGATGCAACTTGAATCTTTACTGAGGCTCAGTGAATGACACAGAGTTCAAGCTCACTGTAATAACTAATAATGATTAATATAATAATAAATATATTGGCCATATTATATTTACATTACCAAAGTGAGATGACTTTAGTCTCATAAACAACATTAGCTAATTGTTATTTACTAACTAATCTTAAAATGACTGTTCAGTACAGAAATGAAGCCCAACAATCATGTTTTTCAGCCTCAGATACTCAACAAATCAAACAAAGCTCATGTAAGAACAAACAAACAAATTAACAAAATTTCTCCTTCATTTCTGTCAAACAAAGCTGTATGAAAGGTTTCCAGCGGTTAGTATCATGGTTGCTAGGCAACCTGGGCAGCGCGATCGTAGACCATCCCATTTCACAAGCCTCTCACTTCCGGTCTTAGCTGTCTTTGAGTATGCGGCCCTTGTGGACCGTTAAGGCTGCAGACCCTGAATTGGGATACAGCCAATAACTCTTACACTGCGCCGTAGTAACATGGAATGACCACTATGTGTCGCTCATGTCGCTGATGTAAACAAACATGTGAATCACAGCGCCGACTGGCGGCCCTTTGTGCTATATGCATTAAATAACAACACAAAACAAAAATTTAAAATAAACTTGCAATGCTTTCAATAGAGTACTCTTATATAACACTATTGCTAATTATATTAAAATATATTTCCCAAACATTTCCTTTTGTACTTCATATGATTAAGTACTACTGGTTAAATCTAATGATATGCTAAGAACAGTCATGTGAATAAAGTTCAAATAAAAGCATGTTTGGCTTTTACTGAAAGAGCTTTCCAGTACCTGAAAGGTACTGGAAGCTCTTTCAGTCCATCTCTTGCTGTCTTGTGAGACAGAATAGATGTCCTCATTTTGTCCAATCACCAAGTCGGGACTTGCTTTAGGGGGTTGCAAGTAGAGGTGAAAGAAGGAGGCCTACTTATAGATTTTACTTCGGTAAAAATAGCAAAGCAGCCACCAACAGTCATTTTATTATTGTTATTACAGATGCATGAGCAGATTTCTACCTACTATACTTCAATGTATTGCATCATGATTATTCACCAGAAGTATCTGAGAAATGGTGAATTTTAGATGATTATTAAAAGAATAAATGCTTTAATAAATGCTTTGAACACACAGTTCTGCTGTTTACTGAAATACGTACAAATACACATAGAAATACACTATATAAAGGAAACAGTTTGTACTGTTCTAACAAGTTTGAAATTCAATATTTGGTATGACCACATTTATCCTTTAACACAGTCAAGCTTTTCTTCTAATTTCTTTAAATACTCTTCTGGAATATTTCTCTAGGTTCCTTGCAGGACATTTACAGCTCTTTTTTGGATGTTGACTGTTTTCTTTTTCCAATCTCTGTCAAGATGATCCCACACTTGTTCAATAATGCCAAGGTACGGGTTACAAAGCAGCCTCCTAACTCAGAGCAAGCAGACGGTTCAGTCACACGAGTAGGACATGAGCCTCCTGCCATCTATAAAAAACACTTCGGTGGCTGCCTGATGATTGCATTTCATTTAACAACTGCAGTCTGACTTGCACTGTGTGCAATTACTCTCAGACAAATTTTTGAAGTTTTGAAAATAATTGCTGTCTTATTTCTGACTGCAGACAGATTACCAACATGTCGCCATCAGTCTGAATGGCCCTTTGTCAACTCCAGGGGACTCGGCTCAGCTGGCTGCCAGCTGGTTGTATTCTGGTTGTATTCCTTTAGAACAGAAAGACTGCTAAGCGAAAATTTAATAAATTAGTTAAATATGAATTAGACAGCAAAAGAAATGTGAGCTTTGATGATTTATCACAATATCAACATTTCACGCAATTGCCAACTTGACCTCATTCAACTTGTTCGCCGACTGACTCCTACATATGGCAACATTTGTTTTTTTGTTAGTGTTGGTGTGCTTGACTGTCTCATTTTACATTTTTAAAATAAAAAATGTAAAATGAATTAAAACATTTTAATTAAATAAAACAGATATTGAAAAAGTTTAACTTTGAAGACATAATTTATATGTTACTGCAATACTTTGCAAACTGCAAAATACTGTATCATAAGTGAAGTATCATGGGGTGTCTGGCTATTCCCACACTGCTGAATATAGCCATGTACGCATGTAACCGTAATTCTACTTAATAAACTGAGAACAACTACTCTACTCTAATACATCTCTCTAAAAGAATCACAAGATGATTACCAGGACTGGAAAGTAGAAAACTACTATAATCTTTACTTACAATGTGCTAAAAAAATATCAGAGAAGGAAAAAACTGTTTAGTAAGAATGGATACAAACAACGGTCATCTCAACCTTTCCTACAAAAAGTGCAGCAAAGGGCGAACACTGACAACAAATTGTCCTTCTCTTAGTCAGTGGCAGCACAGTGTGCTGCTAAAAATGATTTTGCATACTCTGGATGTTCCACTTCCGAGGAAGAGAAAGGCAAGTCAGATGTCAGTAGTAGCAAAGGTCTAACAAACATAGCGCTCAGGACTTGACCAACAATCATCAACGCACTCAAGAAACAGAATTTTAACTTGAATTTTATTTTCATATATTGTAATGGTACAAAAGGAGAGCCTGAACATTAGGCAAAGTTCAGTTGTCCATTGTTACAGACGTCCCACTTAAAAAGCCAGTGTTCAGTCCACTTGGCAACAATTAGTAAAAGGCCTTGTGATACAGACAGTGCTGAGTGAAACAAGTCCGTCCATCCAACTTTTAGTTTACATTTAACGTGATCGCTGCTTAGGTTTAAAAGCGTTCCTTCCGGTATCAACGCACACATGGTTTCAAATGAAATGGATGGAAATGAACCGTTTTCCCTGATCAACAGGCATCAGAATACAGAGATGAATTGTACAGAGCAAATACAATCATGATTTATGTTCCATACATAGGCAGAAATATAATGCAACCACGGCAGTTTAAGAAAAATCTAGGTCGATGAAAAGGAAATGAAACTGTCTGGAAATGTACAATCTTGGGAAATATTAACAGATGATATACTGATGTACACAATGCCCACACTGGAGGGTGAGCTCACCTCCATTTACAGTAAGTCAAGATTGTCGAGAGTCGTTTCTGCTCAGTTGTGAAGTCCTGTTTTGTTTATTCAAAAACAGCAGTGTCCAAAGGGAGACAGCAGCAATATGAATGATTATGAGCAAGAATAAACTGACCAGTCACACTGCTTCACACAAACATTGCTTAAGTGATACATAATTTAGAAACACACAAAAGGAATTGGGAAAAGCTGGAAAATAACAAAAAAGAAGAAGAACAAAAACAAGAAAAGCTTTTATACGCACTGACTCAATGTGTTTGGGTGAAAATGAGCTGAGACTATATCTGAAACTGCTAGAGTTTTCTTGTAACCAAGGAGCACGTATGAGTCATCAAAACTTCCTCCTTTTGGTTTCGTGGGAATGTCTGACTGACCTTTTCCTCGGACCTTCACCTGATTCACTAACAGAAAAGGGAGTGGGCTGAAAATTAGACGCATGACTCAGAGGGACGTGGCGGTGAAGGACTGTAGAGTCACAGCTCGAAGGATAGAACAAAAATGACCAAGGCAACTCGTCACCATAATATTTGTGCATATGTGTCCAAACATACACACGAAAAACAAACAAACCACCAGATAAAAGCATATTCATGGGAATTTTGACAAAGTAGTGTGAGAGAGTGCGAATGAGCACCATCCATCTTCGCGAGTTATACTGACTATACAAGCTCTACTAGGAAATAATTTAGGTTTTTATATATGTCTGCACTCCCAGAACTAATGATGTGACCCACATGTTAAGGCTAAAATTTTATAACAAAAAAATGTGCATACAGTTGTTATCCTTGGGCTTTGTAAATTTAAAGTCTGCCATTAGAACACAACAATATTATTGCCCGATATTAGCTATTCGCCAATGTATAGGTATTGGCATTTACAACAGTGTTGTTGATAAATGAAAACTTTAAAAAGAGAAGAGACAGGAGAAACATCCTTCAACCATGTCATGAGTGTTGATGTTGCATAGATTGTCCACCAGAGGGCAGTCTGCAACTTCCCTTTCATCAACGCGTGTTTGGAACGACGCAAACACAACAGCCGCCTGATCCCAGCAGAGCGGAGGTGAATAAATAACAACACATAAAATACATCAGGAGAATTTGTTTATGTTTAGTGCGTTTGAAAGAGAAACGAAAAATATCGAGTATTGGCTTTTTAAGTCACCAAATATCGGTATCGATATCGGTCAGGCCCTGTCTGCCATTAGTACCACTGTACACTGCTTAAGTGCTGTGTGCAAACAGAAAGCTTTACAGACAACCTAAAGTTGACTAAGGCCAGTTATTAATGCTTTGAAAGTGACACTTTCCTGAAATAAAAACCTTAATTAGCAATAACAGGAATGCTACGTATTGGCAACAATGAAGAACAACATGATACATTGTTTTTAAAAAAATAATAACAATCAATAATCAGAACTAGATGGGCTAACTCAGAGTAAACTGCCAGTTATAGCCGAACATCATAGACATTTCTATGTTACTGCATTATTTACTTGCCTACTTTTGTGGATTGATTGGCAGGCCGGCAGGCCAACAGGCCCTATCCGCATACTTGGCACTGCTCACGTTTATCCCGCAGTATGCAAGCAATTCAATTTAAGCATTCAATCCTTTCTAGGAAAGCTAAGATTTCCTGTGGATGAATCTGTTTCTCTGGCATTATTTCCTTTTTGCTTCCATCTGCAATCTCTGTTGCAATGTTAGCACTAGTTGCTCGTCAGCTCACATAAAGCTAAAGCTCCTATTTCTGCCTTTTAATACCGCATGGGAGCGCTTTACTAGCTCCCCCTACAAGGACATTTGGATTCAGTCAAGGCCTCAGTAAACAAAATATACCGTGAACAAAGGTATAATTGTATCATTAGAGTTAACCTTCCTTTAAAAAGCTTGAATCAAAAGAGAAAAACAGCAGGTAGGAAGAATACGGTACACATGAAACAAACACATTAAATATTTCAGCTATACATTTTACAGCACAAGAAATAAAAAACGAGCCAAGTTTGTGATGTTTGCAATCAATCCTGGGGTATAAAGCTTGTAAAAGCTAAGGCCATATTAGCTGCAAGAGATGCTTGGCTGGGGTAAACATGGCAGAATTAGTCCAAATGATGCTATTAAATCCAAAGGCCTTAATAAGGAAAGTGTTTCAAGCAAACCACGCATGTTACATTAATTTGGTCCATAGATGGTGGGAATCACATATTGCATGTTCGTCTTCTCTCTCCCTCTCTCTACAAATGTTTCCCTTCTGTTGTCTGATCTAAATGTTTCTCCACTTTTCCATTTCCTGTTTGTCCTCATCTGTCACTTAGATAAACAGATTACATATAAGTGTCTGCTTTAGAAGCTTGACTCAACTCTTCTCAAACAGGAAGTATCTAAACTTTCCATTATCACATCTGAAGTTCATTTCCTTTGGGAGTCCCACACATGTAAAGCTTGACTAAAGCTTCATAAATCATATGGCGCATTAAAAAAAAGAGGAATAAAGAAAAGAAGAAAAAAGTACCTTCATTCTTGTTCATTTTTTAAGTGTATTATCTGCTCGATGTGTGATTAGCAGTATCTATGCTCCATATAAGATGGCGCCGCCATTGCGTGCAATAGGTCGGCAGCCTTATGAAATTTCCCCTTGTGGGACTAATAAAGGTATATCAATATCAATTTTAACTAAAGAACCCAAAACAAAACAAAACAAAAAGAAATCCGCTGTGACTTGTAATGCAAGGACAACTAACCTCACATAATTACATGTAATTACAACATAGCAAAGAAAATAACAATAATATGGGTATAGTGTTGACAATTTCTTTTTAAAATAAATGCAAAACCAAAACTACACGTCTATTGTGCATAACATTGCATTCCATTATTCACAATAAAACAGCCCTTCTCACAGGCCCAAACATAATGCTAATGTATGGTACAACTTAAAAGTACACCAGATTAAATTCTTGGCCTTTTCCCAACACATTACAAGGTGTCATATTAAATCTGATAAAGTAACACACTAAAAAAAAAGTATAATGCTCGTTGAAACAAAAAGATTCAAAGAAAAAAGATGGATTTGTCCACCATAACTTCCTAGGCAGTTAACAAACAGCCTGCCTCACAGACTGACGTTATAGTTTAACAACTGCAGGGTATTTAGACATTGAACTGTAGAGTATGTTCCCATTTGTTTCCACTGAATATTTGACAGCTTTGTTTCTTTGAAGTTCATCTTCTGAGCTAAGGCCTAAGCTGTGAGATCACCCGTGAGATGATTTGCTAATCTTCATCAAGTCATTTTGTCTACGTAAAAAAAAAATGCCTCAGAGTAAGTCGAGCATAAAGAAAGCCAGAAGGAAAAACAACACGGCAAAGCTTCATGCCTCAACACATCGGCTATCAGTTGCGCTGTAATTCGTTCAATTACATCTGCTAGCACAGTGAGGCACGCTGCACCTCATCTGCAGATATAACCGTATAAAACTCAAAAGTGATTTTCAGTCTCGAGGCCAGAGAACATCAGGCTAACACTCTTCTGTGCATATTTCCTGTTGATAGTAAAGTAGTGATAATCAGCACATGTAGATCACTGGCAAGGTTGAATCGTGCAAAGTTTAAATAAACGGGTTTGCTTTGGACAGTTCCTATTGTGGCATGCATACTCAACATCACCTGGAGGAAACACTGAAAGGCCACAATACCAAACCACCTTTCATCGCCAAGCTAGGTTATGAGATTATTCCACTGACAGGCATGAGACAATTCCAAAAGCCATCACTTTCCTGTGCCTGTTGGGCCAGAACTGCTGCATCTCCTTCAAAGTTTCAAAAAATTTCACTGCTTCTTCATTCCTCTGATCAAACTTCTCTCCTCTGCAGCTATCCACAGTGGTTCGGCTCAGGCTTGTTCCTTATCGGCCCTCCACAGCTGCTCTTTCACTTCTGAGGGAAGCGTGTTGAACAGGTCCTCCTCCACCACCAGGCTGCTCTTCTTCAACAGTCGGCACTCGCCAAGCTCCACCGGAAGACACTCCAGACGGTTCCCTCGCAGCTCCAGCTGAGTCAGCCCGGTCAGTTCCCCAAAACGTGACGGTAGAGTCTGCAAGCAGTTGTTCCCCAGATTCAGAGTACGAAGTTTCTTACACTGGAACAGCTCTGGGGGCAACGTCTCAATCTGAAATGGAGAGGAAAGGAGGAGGTTGCAGTTACCCTGGCCTGCTAAGGCAGTTACTAAGCAAAACATGTTTCACATAATAAGCAGCTCAGTTGTAGATCACATTATTTTCAGATGCTAACCAATTAAAACTACGACAAACAGGCAGGATCACAGGAACAAAATCAAAACTAGGTTAAATCTAGGCCTGCAGTTATATATGGGTGAACACGGTGTAGGCCAGTATCAACTTTGGTGACTGCTATGAGCAGATCCAACCTTTACTATAGCAACTTAAAGACGGTTAATAACGAGATAAAAGACTTTTAAACAGCTGGGTTATTTTAATTATGATAACCATAAAATAAAGCATCTGTAATGGCGACTGACAAGGAATCTCTTGCTGCCACCTCCAAAACAGCATTGAGTTAAATGTGACTTGATTGGTTCAAATGTTTTGCCAGGTTTGGTTAATTTCAGCTGTTCTTGGATGCCAGCTCTGAGAGTTGAGTATCACACCAGTAAACAGAATCTAGGCATCATTTTAGATTACTTGGATCTTTTGTTAAAGCCTTATTACACAATTCTGCTAAATATAACTACTGTGTGCATTTTTAACCAGCTTAGTTTAGGTAGCTGGAGTGCTAGCTATTAACAAAGAAACTTGTCCTATTACTCAGGATCAACCGAGCAGAGGACAGCTGATGTTTAGACAGCTGATGTTTTAGTCAAATCTTACCGGATTTTTTAAAACGATACTACATTCATGTGTTTGACCAATCAATGTATGCAACCAGGTCTTTCAAAGCTTAGTGGAAAAAAAACATTCCCACGTCCCATGGGTTTTGCACTCAACAATAAAGCTACGGGTTGACAGAACAATTTTACATCTGATTACGAATTTTACGAATGTGATACAGGCAAAGAATTTCACAATTTGTGCATATCTGCTAAAGACTTAAAAGGTTTGAACAAATTTAGGACTTGAGTTTACTTTGTGTACCATGAACCTCTGTTTGAAAACAACAATGCAGTCACACTCTGTTAAAAACTTCTAAACATTAAAAACCTTTTTTTTTTATTTGGATAGATAATGTGCTGGAAGTTTAAAGAGGATTTTTTAGGAAAAGAGGCCCAGAGAGCCCGAAACATCAAAAGGAACCCATTTAATGGAGCTATTTGTAGCCGCACACAAACCTGCTGGAAGCTATTTTCAGCATGCAAGCGCAGTAGAAAGTCTAGTAAAACAGCAGTAATAATAACCTTTACTGAAAAACACATGATGCTATATGCATGCTCAGTGTTCAAAACAGTATTATCAGGAGAATTCACCAAGTGTTTCTTTAAATTCTCACAGTAAACAAATGTGAATGAAATGCCCCAGAGCAAATAACTGAGTTAAGGCTTAAATGATCTCCTTCATCAGAAACCACAGGCTTCAATCCAACTGTAAATTTTTAGCATGATTGAACATGTTAATGAAAAATAACCAAGTTTATGCTAATCTGCCACCTTAACACAGTGAGGGAGGCTAGATTTGTGGAGAAAAGCGACACATTATACAAATAATACCATATACACTTTGTAATAAATACATAGCAATGACACATTTTGGTCCGCTTGGAGTTCACTTGGATTTTTTTGTGTGTGAAAAGAAGCCAAACCACAGGAAAAAGCTACAAGTTTACAAATTCATCAACTAATTTAGACCAGCGTAAACAAACTATAAAAGCGCCCTTAGACAAAGACTTGGACAGCTGTCAATATACCTGGGTGGTCCACCTAAGTAAAGTCTTTGTATGGGAAGCACTACAGTCCTACTGTTATCTTCAAAGGCATAATTCTACACCAGGAACATGTAGATATTTATAATGGCTGACCTTTGTCAACAACTTATCGGGTTTTTAAGCTAACCTTAATAACATCTATGAGAAAGTTAAAGGGGTGGAAACACGACTGCAGAATGAGAGAACTTGATAACTTTTACTACAATGAATAATTTAAGAAATTCTTCGCTACTCACCCTGTTTGCTGTCACTGCAAAATACTGCAGGTTCTGGAGGAAGCCCACATCTGGGTGGATGCTGGTCAGATTGTTGTGGCTCAGGTCTAAGAAGCGCAACTTGCGGCAAAAGAAAAGCTGGCTGGGGATCCTCTCTATCTTGTTCCTATTCAAATAGAGCCTTTCCAGGTTGGTGAGTGTTCCGATCTGAATGGGGATATAGGCAATCTGGTTGTACCACAGCTTCAGGCACACGAGGCGGTGCAGGTGCTGGAAGCTGATGATCTCCTCTATCGTCTTCAGATTGTTGTCCTTCAGGTCGATTTCCTGCAGGTTGTGCAAGCTAAAGATGGAGTGCGGAATACGTTCGAGATCGCAACGAATGAGCTCCAGCTCAGTCAGGTTGACCATTTTCTTCAGGCTGTTGAGCACCATTAGTTTGGTGCCCTCATTGTTGATGGAGAGCTTCTGAAGGTGCACACCCACATCCGTTACCACCTGGGGAAGCTTAGTGAGGTTGCTCTTAAGCCGTAGCACTTTGAGACTTTTGAGCTCTCGGAGCCCATCGATGACAATGTAACGATTATTCTCAGCACTCAGGTTCCCGGTTAAATGCAGCTCTCTGAGATTCTTCAGGCTGTAGATCCACAATGGGATCTCCTTGATATCAGTGAACTTAATGTGGAGGGACTTCAGATTCTCTCTTAGAAAGGCCAGAGCTGGAGCCTCAATTTTAGCCGGGGTGTGATAGAGCCACATTTCTTTTAGGTTGGAAAGCTGGGCAATGATTGGAGGGATAGTAACATCTGGAATAAGTTCCAGCTTGAGCACCTCTAGTTCAATCAGATCAAACACCGTGTCTGGAATCCCGCTGAGCATGAAGAGGTGCAGCTCCAGCTTCTCCTGGGAGTTCTTGGTGATACGCTGCCGTAGCTTCTCCAGTGTCCACTCATTGTTCAGGTTGAGTTGCCTCAGCTTGTTTTCACTCACCTCTGACAGAAACACAGCGAAGCGCTTGGAGTAAAGAGGGTCATACTGATCTATCATGTGCAGCATGAAGGCAAAGTCGTTCTTTACATCTGGGATGTCACTGTAACTGCTTTCCTCGCGGATTGCTTCAAAGGAGTATCGTTTCAGGGAGCGGCTGAGCATCCAACAAAGAGTGTACATGCAGATGAGTCCATAAACCACCACCAGGGAGATGTAGAAACCGGCCAAAATCCTGAAAAGAGTTGCTAACGGATGAGCGCAATGAAACGAGCTGTACCCGGTTAGATTCTGAATATTCTCTGTGCACAGCACATTGAAGCTGATGTGTTTTACATAGTGGGCTGTGTAGCCAATTATCAGTATAAACTTTATTACCTTGATAATGGTCTGACGTATGTAAAGACGGTACACTATATCACCCTCCTCTACATGTATTCTGAACTTTTTAACCTTTTCAAAAAGGGCCTTGGCCTGCTCCCCTTCCTTTTTATCTAAAACTCCAGTTTCAGAGCGATCAACAATTCCTTGTTCAATTCTGGTCTTTGTTCGTTGGAGCATGGGCACACTGGCCTCAACATCCTCGCTCGCGCTTGAGGCCTTCTTGTCCATCGAACCGTTCATTTTCCCCACAGGCTTGGGGTCGCTCTCCTCCACCACGGTCTCAGACAAAGCTCTCGTTGTCCACGGGGAGTCGAAGCACTTGAGGAGGATGGAGACAAAATGCTCCACTTTAGAGCTTGTGCGGGGGAACTTAAACCAGAAGTTGCTGCAGGCCAGGAAGATTAGAGTGTGGAGTAGCACCAGATAGGGGAAATATTTGGCAAACCAGTGTAGTTTTTTCTCATAGCAGACTGCGTCTACATAGTTATACTGATGTCGGTCGAGGTCATACTGAATGCCTTTGGGTTCCGGTGCGTAGTGGGTGGTCAGATTCGGCATGGGCATGACCTCGCACGAGTCATTAACGACCCACTTGCAAGGCAAGCAGATCATCTTGTCCTGTGTGACCTGCAGCGTCCCGCCGAACACCGCAATCATCAGCATGACGATTGAGATGTAGTCTGTGAAAACGTCCCACCATGGCTTCAGGATGCGGTACGCTGGCTGGGTGTCAGCAAAGTATCGGAGCTCTGTGACGGGAATCATGATGGTTTATCTAAAAAAGCAGAGACAACAGAGGATTAGTTCATGACATGTTAGGTTAAACTGTGTTTTAAAAACCTTAATGCTTTGGGGCAAAACTTTGCATAAATTACACTCAAAATATTATTCCTGCCTGTTGGCAGCTGACTGTGGCAGCTGATTGTGAATATTTTAAGCTTTTTCCTTATGAAATCCAGCTGAATAGCTCTGTTTTTCTTTGATAGCTTCTATGCCAGTTTCTGGGATATAGCCAACCATTGTTTTCATTAGGAATTAATCCTCTAATTATTTCCTCATTCCTTATTTCTAAAATGCCATGAAATACTGAAGAATGTCCACTACGGTTTCCTGAAAGGATACATTTACAAATTACACTCCAAAACTATGACGCAGTCAATTTACAAATACATAAACCAGAGAGAGTCTGATGGTGCACTGGAGAAGCAAATGTTTGGATGTCTTGGTTTTTTTTGCATGAAATATGATTCAAATTATTAAACCATCTATACAGTGGAAACCCATATTCCCAACAGCAATCAAACATATTTGTCACAATGTGTCTTGGAGAATATCACAGGACTGAAATTAGTACTAAATGGATACCATAATAACATCACCATTTCATATAGCAGGATAAACACAATCCTTTCATTTTACACTGCACAATTAGAAGGAAGCTTGCTTTAGTCTTGCCTTCTTGCTCTTATGTTATGTCAATATTGATGTGAATATTTTAAAAAGTCAGACAGCAAATTAATAAATGCCACACACACAAGCAGCACTAACTTACAATTTGCCTTTTATCCTGATGTAGCCCAACAAGCACCTATGAGCAAAGAACTGGAGATTACAAGACTAGAAACACACAAAACACGATAGTTCTGATAGCTATTTGTCCTACAACTAAACAAAAGATCCTCTGAGCATCTTGCATGGGACACAGCACATTGCAGAGGCAATAGCAGCACAGACCCCGAAGCAGGCATGTTCATACAGACTCGGTGTCTCCACCTGTACTGCTACGTAGCCCTTTCTCAGAATGAATACGTTTTAACATGTTACTCCTTACAGAAAGGGCCACGAAGGAATGTATTCTCCCAAGAAGCTATGTAAAATCCTGCAAAACCATCTTAAACATATTTCCTGATTGTTTTCCCCCAAAAAGTGAACAATCCGAACAAGCAGGAATACTTAAATTAAAATCAAGAAAAACAATTTGAAAATGGATGCTAAACCCATTACTGAACACAAAGCTGCTGCTGATCACACGAAAACACAAATCCCCCAAAGTGAAAAACTCCTGAGGCTTGAGTATGTGTGTAAAAACCACAATCAGGCATCTTTTTCAAACAGTAAATAAGAATAGAGTGAACAATAAAAAATAGAGCAGTCAAAGCAGCTTTTTTTCCACAATTCAAGATGTTTTAAAGGATCATATTAGCCCAAGTATAACCTCCTACACAGAAATAAAGTTTCATGTGGACACAAATCTGATAGTAGAAGAAAAAACAAATAAACTGTAATAGTACTACTTATTTTTTTTCTTATAACAGTAAGGAAGAATCAAAGACAACAAAAACTGCATCTCCCTGTTTGTTCAACCACCCCCTACCTTATGAAAGAAGATAGCTGCGCAAGTCCTCACAAAAAAGCATTGTTTTTTATCCAGTTCAAACCAGAATGGCAGCGGAGTCGCTGTTGGCCTCCTTCGTTAGGCCTCTGCTTTGCTTTAACACAGAAATTACAGCACACTGAGGCCCCAACAGCTGCCACAATACCCTTAACTGTAACCAGTCAGATGGTGTTATTCCACAACAGGCTATCTTTGACTCCAATGCAGTGTACACTTCCCTGTACCACAAGATTCATGACATACCCAAAAGCATTTGACATGCTCAACTTTAAAATGTGACAGATGGAAATTCTGGTTTTGCAATACAGTGAAACTGCTGCATATTTTCACTTTCGTGTCTTGAAGTCATTGGTGTGTCGCTTAGATCACAAGTTTGCCACAATAAGCTCATATAAACTCCAAGTTCCATGTAACATAAACTAATTGCCAAGATCTTCCAAGAATTTCACACCAGGCTCTGAAATAACCCTAACAATAATAATGGATGATCCGGTGAGGTCACAATGTGCCACTAATATCTTTAATTCAAAAGAACATCCGAGGTTTGTTTCACTTCATCCTGGCACAGGAAAATAAACACCAGTCTGCAAGCAGCTTACCTTGAACCACACTACAGTTCTCCAAAATCATCCCTCTAATAATTTCAACCAAGGACTTCTCTGAGGAACTAAGGACTTCCTGTCACTATCCCTGGTGTAAAATAAAAAAGGTCAAGACAGGATAATATAGTGACTGTGTTCTAGGTTTCTTGTTTGCTATGTTACCGCAGTACATTTCTCCTGATTTTCTTTCTCAAACAGAGATGCCTTTGTGCAGGCGAAGTGCAGGTGAACCTGACCACCGAAACAGCCAGTGTATTACAGAGCCAGAAATAATTTCCCTCAAGGACACTAGTGTCCATTTGGTTTGTCACAAAAACAAATGGACATGCCTCTTTTGCAATATATAATGGACTTTCCTTTAAAATAACCCCAAGCAACCCCAAGTAGCTTTAAGTAATATCTGACAGCTAATCTCCGAAAACTAAATGAACTCCAGTGAGGGAAAAAAAACCTCTTCCTGTGGGGCTTAAACTTAAAATCCCACAGGAATAAGTCGCAGGTTCGTATGGGTGCCACTCCCTACTTCTCCTTAGGATAGATTTTTGGTGGTAGGCATACTTTAATACCAACAACTTTCCAAAGATCTTAAAAAAATAAAGGACTGAAGGACTTTCTAAGGACTTAAGGTCATCATCAATGTACACATACAGGCAGCGCAGGACAAGAGTGTGTGTAGTGCAAAGATCAGAGCACAGCATGCAATCGTGAAAGAGATGAGAAAAACCCCAAATGATAACAAAAGAAAAAGAAAAGGAAAAAGAAAAACGTGCTATAATCTTTGTTATGTGTCCATGATGAGAAAACACTGAACAAGATGGTGTTAACGATGGACAGCATGTCTCTAATGTGATTCGAAGCCCACTGAATGTGCACATGACACCTTTGGGAGAAACTTTTAATAGACAGAAGAGACAAAGTTGAACTTGTTGGCAAAGATAAACAACATGCTTTGAGGGAAAAGGGCACTCTATACTAAGGCTAAAAGCTCAACTCAACTAGGCTGGATATTTTAAAACTTTTATGATTTTTGAATATTCAAATAGTAATTAAAAAATTAGATACGTTATGCCTTAATAATTTCTTGGTATTTTACTGGCATTTGCAAGGATATAATACACTACTATCACCCAAAAGGGATGGTAATGCACATGCAAAGCCAAATACAGTGAGAGCTGTCAAAAACCTTCAAATAGAACTTAAAAAATAATGCAGCAAAGCTAGCATATCACAAGTCTGCCACAACTATACAACAGTCATCAGAGAGGAGTATGTTGGAAGGACGTCTTTGTAGAATATTATATTTGATTAGAAATGCCTGTTAATCCAAACCTTGAAGCAGGGTGGAGGTAGCATTATGGGTTGGAGCTGTTTTGCAAGTTCAGAAGACTTTCCAATCGAAAACACTGAATTGAATTTTGTGTTTAATTCAGCAGTCTACGAGCAGAAGATTTTGAAAGGCTGGGTCATACAACAGGACACGGATTCAAAACATATAAACAAAATAAAGATAAGCCCATGTCTCAAGCCACCACGAATTTCTTTAAATGTTGCTTCCAAGGAGCTAGACTTTATTGTAACTGTTTAAAGTGGTCATGAGCAACAATTCTCCAGGCTTTCTGAACGTTTTTCAAAATGTTTTTCTTAACTAACTGGCTGCTTTTTGATTGATTGAGTATCCGAGTATTTTTAGAGAAATTATTTTCATTTATTTGTTTATTTACTTCACTTAACACTGACCCACTCAAGCATAAACAAGGCACCTAACTCAAGGGATGAACGAGTGTTGTGTCTACACATAGCAGACAACTTAGCAACAAACTAATTTTAAATTGCATCTTTCGAGAGTTCGTTACTATTTTTGCTCCAAGTTGATTGTCAAATAGCCATTAGCTAAAAACTTGGCATACGTCAGCATGAAGAAATTGCACAAGCGGAGGACAAAAGAAGAAGTTTCAGGCATAAAAATAATTTTGCGGTATACGAAAATGAAAAAAAAAAAAAACGCAGCAAAGAAGCCATTTTTAAGGAAGGGAAACAGGGAGAAAAAGCTGAGGTAGATATGAGCTCAGCTAAAAATCAGCAACAGCTGGTCTTATGGAGTGATGAATTTGAAGCTTTGGGGTCAAAGTGTCATAGGAGGAGGTCAGGAGAGGGGTACAACTGGGAGTATGTACAGCCAAAACACGGTGGAGGCTCAGTCATGGTTTGGGGTTGCATTTCAACAAGGGGTGTTGGGAATCTTATCAAAACTAATGGAATTATGAAAGCACAAAAGTGCCCCTAAATTTTGATCCACGATGCAATACCAGCAAACATCCTAGAAGAGCATTGCATGTAATTCCAGAAGAGCTATTCCTGAAGACTACCCATAGAAATTACAAGAAAGCTACCTATGAGAGTTTAGGCAGTGTTGAAGAACAAAGGTAGTCATACCAAATATTGACTTTTAAGATTATTAGAAGCTACCCCTAAAGAAATGAGGTGTGGTTCAACACTTGCACAGTAATGTCATCTCAATCATGACTGTGTCTTTCCAGTTAAGATTATGATGGCCCTATTAGCGTAACTTAGCAGAAGACCACATCACAACTAATTAATTCTGGCTAATTCTGAAAGGTCAGCACTTTTTTCTTGCAACTGTACACATGTGGACAGAAAGATGGACAGATACCAGTGCTGCCAGCAGGCAGGAAGTTTTATTACATTCACTTAGATACACGCTATAAACTCCTCTGTGTTTGAAACATCTCTCAATATTCCCTTGGCAACTACTTCACAAATTTCCATTTAAGTGCCGCAAACATTTATAGGACCTCCAAAGCAACAGAGAGCATCACTTTACTAACGTCTTCTACTCCCTGTTATCATGTACCATACAGCAGAGATGACTAAGGAACAGTGTGTTTTGGATCCCTTCATCAGTTCACAGTTGTTGAAAGTATTACACGCCGATCTCAGGGTTGTGTCAACAGCATCCAGTCCAGGCTTGTTGCTCCAAATGTGCTGGAGTTGAATATCAATTTTAAACGACAAAAATCAGCTTTTTTCCACCATATTTTGACACTGTGTGGTACAAATAATGTATTATTTGAAGATAATGAGGTGAGAAATCATATATGAAAAGACTAAATGGTAAATGGCCTGTATTTGTATAGCGCTTTGCTAGTCCTTAAGGACCGCAAAGCGCTTTACACACTCAGTCATCCACCCATTCACACACTGACAGAGGCGAGGCTGCCGGACACTGGCGCCACCAGGCCCTCTGACCACAACCAGTAGGCAACGGGTGAAGTATCTTGCCAAAGGACACAACGACCAAGACTGTCCAAGCCGGGGCTCGAACCGGCAACCTTCCGATTACAAGGCAAACCCCCAACTCTTGAGCCACAATCGCCCCGACTAATCCTACCTTGGTCCGATTCTAGCTTTTCAAAGGAGGATCCCTGCACTTAACAATTTTTCCAGCACTTCCCAGCGCTATGTGGCAATAACTACATAACTATGTGATCTGGATCCAGCAAGTCAAAGACACTGATTCGTTTCCCGTTATTATTTTTCCATTTTAGCTAATATTTAGTAAATCCTGATAAAAGTCTACATAAGGGTGTTATGGGGCAGTTGAGTTGCTAGTCTACATCAGCACTACATATCAGCAGTGACAGTGTTTTCTAAAGCCACAATCCACTGATGGATCCACTCACACTTTATAAAGAGGTCCTTGACCACAAAACTGTTGCCTAGAACGCAGAAAAGAAAATGAAAAGAAAAGAAATTCAGGCCAAAAACTCGAGATCGTTCTTCACAGCCCATTTGTACAAAGCAGAATTATCACAGCTTCCGATCTCAGCCCATCTGCCCAGCCCTGGGGCATCAAATCAAGGGATGGAGAGGACAAGGTCTAACAACTGCTGACTCACAAAGAATGTACACCAGTGATGTCATGCTCTCACACATGTTCACAGTAGAGGTCTGAGACATAAACCGTTTAAAACTACTTTATAAAGACATATCCTGATCTTATAAATTAATCATTGTAACCACATGTATGTGCCTAGCCTGCCAATGGCAATATTACTACAGCAATGCGATAAAATCATAAGAGCTCTTACATGTATATTGTGACTCTGTAGTAATAAAAATGAGAAGAAGAACAGCTCCTTATGAACTTAATATCCGAGAAACATCGAGTTACAAAACAGAGCTCTCCTGTTTTCCACTGCATGCACATGCTTTGCGGCTGCTGATGGGAAAACTTCCGTGTTTTAATCTGCTGTTTATAGCTTCAGTGTTTTATCAGCAAAAAACTGTTTGAGCTAAAAATCCCAGAACACCCCGCCTGGCCTTCAGCTGTGGACAAAAATGCATTTAAACAGGACCGAGAATATTTCATTAGCTTGAAAAAATCAATCCGAGGCGGTAACACAGTCAGATAAAATTACATGTAATCCAACCTCCCTAGAGCGACCTTTAGTTAGGTGGTCCTCTCCACAGCAAGAGTCAGCAGAGCAGGGACGGGAAACGATGTCTCATGTCGGTGCTCAGTTAGCAGTCTGCGGCAGCTAACTGGTTATATACCAAACACCCTGAAAAATAACAAAAGACCCACCTGTTTTGCTAAAGCTGGTGTCTCTCGCCTCCTCCGCACTCTGGTGAAACATTTCTCAAACAGGCTTCAGAAGCTGAGGCAGCTCGGACATCAGGCCGGAGCCCCGTTATGCTGCTACGGTAGAAGAAACCCGCAAGAAGGCTAGAGCGGTGCGGGACCGTCGGCTCCCACAAAGAGCTCTGTCCGAGCAGGGACGGGGGAAAGTACGAAATTATACAGTTTTTCAAAATAAAAGCACAACCCTCTCATCTCACTCTCGCTCTGTCTCTCTCACTTCTGTTTTTCCCTATTTTCTTTTAGCTTTCCTTTTTAAGTTTTATTAAATTAGATAAATAAGTTAGATATATATCTACTCCCAGTAGATGGCTGCCCCTTCTGAGACTGGTTCTGCTGGAGGTTTCTTCCTGTCAAAAGGGAAATTTCCCTTCCCACACTTACCTTACAATATAAAGTCTGTGAGACAAATGTTGTGATTTGGGGCTATATAAATAAAATTGAATTGAAAAATTGAATTGAATTGAATAGAAATAAAATTAAATACAACGGAATTGAACTGAACTGAACTACAGCCCTCTTTAAACATAAGTGGGCCAGTGAAAGTCTGCATTTCTGTAAGTGTAAAGAATTGTAATTACACACTTAACATATCTTAAGATAAGAATAAAAAGTGTAATTCATCTCAGTTTTTCTACATGATAAAGAAGGGCTCCTTTGGTACATGAAAAAACGCTGTCAGTCCATTTGTTTGGCCTTGTAAATTGTAGGAAATAAATGTGTAAAATTACACGTTGCTCATTGGTCAGAATGTCCTGTAATTA